CCTTCCTCTCTCCTCCCTGGTCCTCCCCATGCCTCACTTCCTCCTATCCTGGCTCAGATCCCTCTCTGTGAAGGATTAATTGACCCAGAGCCACCCATCTCTGTGAGGCCCCAGTATTCCTCTGGTATACTGTTGGCCATGGATCACAAAATAGAAAAGAGGAGGAATGGTGGGGAAGCACGGAGAAATAGGATGCTCTCTGGCGTGACTCTCAAACCTGCTTCACATCTGACTTTTTCTTCCAGGAAAAAGATCTTCCAGTTGGAGTTATTCACTCTGATTCTTCTTTCAGTGGCTCAGAACTCGATCGAAGGTAAGGGCTATTAGGTAGATTCCTTGGGTATTAGCTAAGAGACTAAGTAATGGTCAGATTGGGGGACTAGGATTTCCCAGTCCAGCTGACATCTTAGTAGAGGAAGACAAAGGCTGACCAACCTGATTATGGGTGGGGGGGGGGTCAAGTAACAAATGTGTCTTCTTACTGACATCAATTACACAGTGACAAGCATCTTTCATGTGCTGATAGAGTACACAACTTTAGAAAAGGAAATTTAAAATATTATGTAGAATACTGAAAGTAAGTATTGAAAAAAAAAGGAAACAACATACAAGAAAGTTAGACATAGCTTAAGTACATGTTAATAAAAGCCCGGATACTAAGGATCAAAATAGTAGGTTCGCAGGGTACAATGGCGCACACCTCTAATCCAGGCAGCTCAGAAAGCTGAGGCAGGAGAATCACGAATTTAAAGCTAGCCTCAGCAAAATTAGGTGCTAAGCAACTCAGTGAGACCCTGTCTCGAAATAATATACAAAATAGGACTGGGGATATGGCTCAGTGGTTGAGTGCCCCTGAATTCAATCCCTGGTACCAAAAACAAAAACAAAAGTAAACCCACTAGGTATTCTAATACTCTATGGGGTCACATAACAGCAGGACCAATTATCACTGGTCATAAGGAAAGCTAATTAAAAATCAAATATTAAATGAAGATAGAAACAGTCAAAAAAGGATTCAAGACCTATGCCAACAATGTGATTCCATGGTGTTCTTGATGGTTAACTATCCATGAAAAAAGCAGAACTGCTTGATGATTATACAGGGGGCCCAAAAATGAAAAAGAATTCAGGGGCAAGGAAGTCTTTGCCTATTATTACTAGGGAAGCTGGCAGGGACTGTGCTAACCCTAATGTATTATTACCTAAATTGGACAAGGAGTCATTCTGTATAAGATCCAATTCGTAAGTGTAGAGGTATCCCAATTAGAGAGGCAGGTAATTTTCCATCCTTAGATAGCACTCAAGAGTTTTTCAGGAAGCATATAGGATCTCCTGAATTTGGGGGCAAAGCTGCTTCACAATGCCAAAATGGAGATACTTTTCACCAGTTCAAACCTCTGAGCTGCAGGCTCAAGGACACTATATCTCAGAAGTGTCACATCTCAAAATATGTTCCTTCATATCCCTTAACTCCAATCTGGGGTCCTAAGCCCTTACTGACACTGATCTTTATGTATGGATAGTCACAGAATAACAATTTGTCTATCCTGATTTATCTTCATTTAAAAAATAGTCTACACCAAATCAAATCTCTTAATTGCCCCCAATTTTAGGCAGTGGAGAATTTGGACCAGGAAAGGGCATTTCCAAATGCCTGATAAATTATACAGAGCTATGGTAGGGGTCAGAAATGGAAAAAAAAAAAAAAAAGTCATAACTGTGGATAATATTTCCCAATCACACTGGTGCCTTACCAAGTCTATGGAATTAGATGGAAGCAAAGATGACTAAATAGCAGGATTTTGCTTTGGTAAAGAAAAATGCTTAGCAACATGACCCAGTTAAGTAAGGTTGAGCATCAGAGATCTACCAGGCATGATAGTTGGTCCCTGGGGTTGTAGAGGGACATGTAAACAGAAGGGGAGTACCATGTGCAAGAACAAGAATGGGTACACAGGAGAGAAGGCCAGTGATCTAAGGAAGGTTATTAGCCTTATCAGGAGAATCTACCACAGATAAATAGGACCCTGACAGAAGTACAGTGTGGGACAGAGCATCTTAGGCAGTGGGAACATGTCTGAAGCACCATTTGAAAACATACAACACAAAGAGGGGACAGAGTGGCACTCAAACTAGGAAAGTAGGCAGGAGTTCAAGCATAGGTGGCCCTGTCTTGCTTAGGAGCTTGGATTTTATTCTTTAAATAATAGGGAACCAGTCAAATTTGTGATTTAGAAAGTTCGACTTGGTAGCAATTTGAAGAATGGGTTGAAAAGGCATGAGATCAGTTCAATGGCTGTGGCTAAAAGCCCAGCAGACTGGATGCTTTGTTTCCTTGGTGTGTTGAGAATTCATAAGCAAAGACAGAACTGTTTGCATTAGAGCCCTGCTCTGGAGAATAGGGTTCAAAACACCCCAAATTAGCTAATCATTCTTCCCTCCTCCTCTTTCTTGTTCAGCATCACCTTGCACTTCAAAATCTCCTGTCCAACTTCACCTGCTTTCAGCTATCCCAGGAGCCCAGTCTTCATGGTGCCACAGGTGAAGATAGAGATGGAGTCTGACTATGACTTCACAGACATAGAAGAATATGGAAGAGAGGCCCACGGTGAGACCACCCTTTAGGATGATGCAGCTTCTCCCTGCCTGGGCAAGGGCCTGGTTTAGTTTTAATTGAGTCTTAACTTCTCTGTGCCTGTCTCGTTATGTACCGGAGTGGGTCCTTCTGCCCTATAGAAAACTGGCCATCCTTCAGTGGAAAGTCCTACTTAGATGCAAAGCTCTCTTCATCCCTTTGTAGTTATTACAATATCTAAATGTAAACATTATACCTTATTTTAAAATGCAGTTCAGCATAGAAATCATAACATTTCTTTTGAAATGAAAAAAAAATGCTTGCCTCTTAAAACCATAAGATAAATGGGCAATAGTCAATTTTATACTTAAGACAAGTATTAATTAAAAATTTTAAAGGTTAGATTGAAATCTAGGTGGTTTTAAAGAACTCTTAACGTACTCTTACAATAGGCCAAGGCTGGAATATTGTTTTGCAAAATTGCATATTTTTATGCAATTTTGGTTGGCTTTAACAGGTTGACATGTTATTACTTCTCCATGCAGAGTGATGCTGGAAAGGTCCTACCTTTTCTCTGAATCTCATTCAGCTCAGTTTGAATCTGCATTGTGGGCCTTGGTCTAGAAGTGTGACTGGGGCTTTCCTAGATTGAAAAGCCAGTTCCAAAAGTCTGTTAATGAAGGAACCAATGCATCAGAGTGGATAAAGTTTTTTAAAATGAAATAGTCACTGTTAAAGTGAACCTCAAATCACATGAGATCCACAAAGTGATCCTTTAAATTTATTCACTGTTTTTTTTTTTTCACACCTGGATTCCAATTTCTTTATTTGGAATAGGTCCTTCCTACAAGTTTTCAATGACTGATCCTCAAAGTCAGATTTCTATTTACATGAACATTACATGTTAGGCAGCTAACACTTTGGAAAATTATAACTTGGCAATGTTAGTCAAACTAGTCCTTTAAAAGAATGATTAGAAGCAATTTGGGTAGATTAACACCAATTATTAATGAAGCAGACCCTTTCCCCATTAAACTTAAAAAGATTAGACATTTTAGGTTTAATACACATTGAATGAGTGAGCACCAACTGTTTATGTAATACCTGCTATTGCCAGATAACCACATGCATCTGACATTTTCTTCTCCAAAACAACTATGGATTTGAATTTTCCTTAAATTTAACCTCAGAGCTCCCTTCCAAGGAATACTGCCAAGAGGTAAAGCTCTAAACTTCTGATAGCAAAATTATTTAGCTGTTCACTAATCCAGAACCATCCTATTTAAGTACAAAGTCTTTATCTTCATTTGTACCAATCCTGGGAGAGCTAACAATCTAACATTTAAGTTTTAAAGCCTGGCTGATTTGAAATAGTACTGTCCCCATTAAATTGTAGAAATGTTATGGATTCAGGAGTAAATGTGCTTGATTAATAAAACAAACTGGAAAAGTATGATGTTAGCTTTTTGTTGTAAATTGATCCATGTAATTTTTACCTTATATATCCTTTATATTTTGTATATACATGAACATTTTAAGTCTTTAACAGGTTGACATGTTATTACTTCTCCATGCAGTAATTTTTTCCACTTTTAATGTAACTAAAATTCAATAAAAATTAATCCTGTCTGCTCATCTGACTCCAGGTTTAATAATTTAGGAAAGTCAGCAGGCAAGACATATAGACATAAGCTATACCTCACTTACAAAAATATCGCCAACAAACTAGCAAAAGAATAAAGCAAGCTAGAAGAGCACAAGGAAGGAGCAGATCAACTCCCCAGAGTTCTCTCCCTTTTGGCTTCAAACTGCCTAGAGCAGGAGCTACTTGCATGAAAGTGCAGATACATAGCTGTGATTCATAATACGCAGGGGCCTATGTCAAGTATCAGGATGTGCACCACACCGTCCCTAATCAAACTGATACTTTAAACACATGCACACGCATGCACGTGCGCGCGCACACACACACAGACACACACAGGGTGGGCAGAGGTGGTGATGGGGAAATAAATTTACTATGTATGTGTGTGTTGAGAACACAGAAAGGAGAAAATCCTTTGTAGTGATGTGTAAATTGAATGCCTGGTTTAGAAAACACTCAGAACCATTTCAATGAAATTTACAGATTAAGTTCCTAGTTTGACATTACCTGCTGGGATTAAGGACTAGGCTGGTTTCTTCACAGTTCTTTAAACCAATTTGTTTAAGGTTAGAGGCTGGGTGTTACCAAATATAGAAATAACTAGATTATATCCAATGAGAAAAGTTCACTCTGGTTAGATTACAACTAAGACAGTAGTAGGAGACAGTATTTCAGAAATTCATTCCACACCAGACAAATGTGTTTTATTTAAAAAAAACAAAAACAAACAAAAAAACCCCACCTTTCTTTAAAAAACAAAAACACACACACCAAAAAAACTTTCATCAGAAAGTCTAAATTCAATATTAACTCAAGCTCTTTAAAAATATTTCAGGAAAGCTCACAGAAAAGCAGGCAGCTGTGACAGTTCTTTGGTGGAAAAGTTGCATATTTACACCAGCTGCCCAGTGATTATCAAGCCCAAGTGTTATTTTTCAAAAATAGGTTTCAAGACATAACAAAGAACCATACAGATACCCACTAAAATACAAAAACTGAATAATAAAGTTTAAGGATATAGCAAAATGGATTTAGCAAAAAGGATACAGCCAAATATGGCAATACACATGAATAATTTATAAAACAAGCCTTTCAATCCTAGAAAACTACAATGGGGAGAACTCATTGAAGGCCAAGGAACACAAAGCAATAGCAAATGGAACAACCCAAGACATTTCCTAACAACGAAGCCAAAAAATAAAAAAAAGACAGCTAGTAATGTTGTTTTTCTTTTTTCCAGCCAATTCAGTTCTCTTTGGATAAATTTGGTTATTGATCAATATGTATAAAAATTATGGTGACTTTTTTTTTCCTCCACTCTATTACCATTTCTTCCTTTCCCCTAATTTTCTCTAACATTTTTTTTTTCCTTTGGTTTGACCAGTTGAACTCAAAAGGCTTGGAACCTAAAATGAGTATCAACTCTTATTGGAAAAGCACTTGGGAAATGCAATCCTAGAAAAGGCAAAGTTTTAACCGGAGTGGCTTGACAAAGTTAAGCATCCATTCTCGATGTGACAAGTCTCTTATGTTAATCACTAGATTAATGGCTTCTCTTGGCTAGATCATATGATCCAGCATGACACTGGAGTGTTCCCTGGTGAGGTACTGCAGAGCTATGTGTGCACAAAACCCACCCATTTTAAGCTTTCAATAAATACAAAGCATCATTTTAAACCATTTCAGTAAAATAAATTAAAAGTATTGCATTTCTAATGACATGCTTGATCACCTCGTGGACTGGCTTGAAGTGCTATTCATGGCAGAGTAGACACAACAGTTAATTGGTGGCTACTCCAAGTTCTTTAGACTTCAGCACTTCCCGCTCTTCAGGCCTCAGCACTTTTTTTGCAGCAATAATGGTATTCTTCATTAGCATTGCCACCGTCATGGGACCAACACCCCCAGGGACAGGAGTGATATAACCGGCTTTCTTCCTGACTCCTACATGGAAACAAGACAGGCTGATTCAGTTACGGCAAAAAACATATTATGAAAGGTGCATACAAAAAAAAAAGCAATAATAAACATAAGCACCTTCATTAGCCTCAAAACTCATTAAAAGAAAATTATATCTACATCACTGAAGAGTAAATGATTTTGAACACACTAGTGAAATAACATGCACATAACATGCAGTTGTTCAATGAATATCTAATAACTATAGTTTTCTGGTCATACTTTTCTTCCATGTTAAATAAATTTAAAAAGAAACATCTTGGTAGGTTAACTGTAGGAGAGGTAGGGAAGGGTGTAACTGACAATAAGCATTACCTCAATACCCGCCTACAACATTTTTTAAATCTTGAGTATAATTTGCCCAAAGTACCTAAGAAATTTTGTACATCTAATAACCTGTAGTTTTCCAGCCATACGCCATGATTTTTTTTAAATTTGGTTACCAAGGATTGAACTCAGGGGCATTCAACCACTGAATCACACATCCTCAGCCCTTTTTCGTATTCTATTGAGAGACAGGGTCTTGCTGAGTTTCTTAGGGCCTCACTAAGATGCTGAGGCTGGCTTTGAACTTTTTTTTTTTTTTTTAACTATTCATTATTTTTTAGTTTTAGGTGGACAAAATAAAATATCTTTATATTTATGTGGTGCTGAGGATCGAACCCAGTGCCTCATGCATGCTAGGAGAGTGCTCTACCACTGAGCTACAACCCCAGCCCCAGGCTTTGAACTCTTGATCTTCCTGCCTCAGCACCCTGAGCTGCTGGGATTACAGGTATACACCACCATGCCCTGCTTATTTGTTGTTTTTATATATTTTTAAAATTACATCATTTACCTTCAAAGTCTACATCTCCAACCAACTTGGGTTTAGCAGTTATAGGATCCTGAATTCTGTTAATTCCCACATCAATGACTGCAGCTCCTTCCTTGATCATATCTGCTGTGATCAGATTTGGAATGCCTGGCCAATGGAGATAGGAATGATCAACTTAGTACTAAAAAGAAGATTCTACCAGTCAGATTCTTGCCTTTCAATTTCTAGAGACTTAAAAGAGCTAATTAACGTATTTTATAACATGTTAAAGAATCAAGGGACCATTTAAATTCATATAGTAAATGGAACTATTTTTAGGTGTAAGGAAAAACTTTCACCTATCCAGTCTATAATGGAGTGCCAGAAACCAGTATTCCAACCATAACTCCACCCTCATCTTTGAAGGCAGCTCAAAAAATCATTACGAGGGGAAGGATGAATGGCAATGAGGCAGGTGGATCCTAAGAGATGAGGTACAACTTCACTCTTCTGAAGAGAAGTCCTTCAAGCCCTCTCCCTTGAGTTCTTACCTGCAGCAGATATGACAATATCTGCAAGAATTGTGTGCTTCTTCAATTGTTCTTTGGGAGTGTATCGATGAGATATTGTAACAGTGGCATCACCTAAGGGAAAACAAAATAGATGTCTTGATTACTGAATCAAAGCTGATTAGGTCTCAATTAATCAAGTCATTGTAGAAACTGATCTCTGAAAAATAACTGACTTAATGCTTGTGCCCTATTTTCTGGACATCTAATTGTTATTTGCTTTTGAAAATTAATGCTCAGTATAACTTTTACCCATAGTCTTTGCTCTACCCTTTGGAATCATACATAATTAACTTTATTCCTTATTGTACTTCACAGCTTTCCAAGAATTTTATCTTGTCTAAGATATAATTGTCACAAGGTTACAAGTGTTATTTATTTATTCATTCATTTATTTATTTATTTAGTACCAGGGATTGAACTCAGGGGCGCTTAAACACAGAGCTATATCCCCTTTTTTATTTTGAGATAGGAATTCATTAAGTTTCCCAGGACCTCGCTATATTGCGGAGGCTGGCTTTGAACTCGTGGTCCTCTTGCCTCAGTCTCCTGAGTCGCTGTGATTATAGGAATATACCACCACGTCCAGCTGCTTTTTTGTTTTTTTAAGTTAATGAAAAAGATAGCTGGAAATATAGTTTTGCTACTATTTCTGATATAATCATGTAAGGTTGTTATTGCAACAATTACATGTGATAAATGATTTATGAGGCTTTTTCTTAGATAAAATAACATAACTTGACATGACACATGGCAGTCATATCAAATCAACCCTTTGCAGTTGTCTGAGATATTTTTCTACCAAATGATACAGAACACTATATTAACTTCAAATAAGAAGTGCTTCTTAGCTCCAACCATCAAAGCCACACCTGAAAATTTCTAATTGCCTACAAAATGCTTTACTCAAAACTCAAATTGATTTCTAGGTTAATTCCATAATAAATGAATTAAAACTCCTTGATGATACTGAGTAGTTTCTATACAAAAGTTACTCACTGAGTAAATGTTAACAGAATTACAACAAATATACTTCTGTTGTCTCTGAAGGATCTCCAAAAAGGGAGAAGAGAACACTGCTCTGAAAGCAATTTCCTTACCTCCAGGTCTTTCATGAGCCCCATCTGTGTGTAGTAACATTGCAATGGGCATTCCAACATTTTTTGATCTTCCAGCCACAACCACATTCTTCCCTAGGGTTGGAATACCTATGAAAAAATGTATATTTTTGCATTAAAAGGAGTGTCAATCCATCGAAAATGTGCAAAAAAAAAACAACAGATGACCTGGGACACGAATCCAATTTTAATAGTGAAGGAAATCACTAAGTTTATTGCCTCATTAGTCAGTCAGAGTTAATACTTGCTACACATAGAAAGGGCTAAAAGAAAACAGGATAGCCAGGTGCAATGGCACATGCCGGTAATCCAGTGACTTGAGAGGCTGAGGCAGGAGGATTACAAGTTCGAGGCCAGCCTCAGTAACTCAGTAAGACACTGTCTCAAATAAAAAATTAAGGGCTGGGGATGTGGCTCAAGTGGTAGCGCGCTCGCCTGGCATGCGTGCAGCCCGGGTTCGATCCTCAGCACCACATACAAACAAAGATGTTGTGCCCGCGGAAAACTAAAAAATAAA